AAACTCAGATTGGACAAATTTTGACATTTTTACTTACACTTATTTAAATTTTTTCTACAGATAAGTTTATCTACAAATCTATGATATTTCCATATAAATAATTATATTTTAGCTCATTTGTGGCACAGTGCAGCAGCGGGCCGGATGAACTGACCTCGCGGGCTGTAGTTTGGTGACCCCTGATGTAGATGAAGGAATGGTCAATGAATTATTTGAATTTGTTGATGACATTAAAGTTTTGAGTGATGCTGGCTGTGAGGAGGATGCTGCTGCTTTATAAAAAGATTTAAATTATTTGTTGAGTTAAGCAAATATATGACAGATGGCTATAAAATATAATAAATGCAAAGTAATGCATGTGGGATATCATAATTTGAATTATGAGTACAATTTTGAAGGACAAAATCTATCTTAACAGTATTATGGAAGAAAAAGAATCTTGATGTACTGGTTGATCAGTCTCTTTTAGCCATCCAAGCAATGTGTTGTTGCTAGTGGTAGGACAAATAGGATTTTAGGTTGTATCCAGAGAAATATTGAATACAAATCTAAAGAGGTTATAATATTGTTTGTATATGTCATTGGTTAGGCCAAAATTGGAGTATTGTGTTGTTCTTAGATGACTTACCTTGGGAAGGATATTGAATTGTTGGAAATGGCTTAAAGGAGGTTTCTAGGACAATACTTGGGATGGAAAGTTGTCATACAAGGACAGGTTAAAATATCTGAAATCATTTTCTCTTGAGAAAAGAAGAGTTAGAAGGGATATGATTGAGATGTTTAAGGTTGTTAAAGAATTGATAGTGTTGATGCATCATCTTTTTTGATATTTAATTGTGAAAATGGTAGGAATATGGGACACAAATATAAATTTTGGCCAGGTAGGTGTCATATTCAGCCAAGCCAGCTTTATTTTGTAACTGGATGGTTGGCCTTTGGAATGAATTGCCTTCAGGTAGAATGGATGCAGTTAATTTAAGGTAGTTTAAGGGAAGGCTTGATAAATATTTGAATGATAAGGGCTGGCCATGAGTGTTTTATTTTTATTTTAAAAAAAAAGATATATGTATACACATTATATTTAGTGTTGGCAATGAAAGATTGGGATTTTTAGTAATAATTAGCTGAATAAGACAAAGTTCTTCCTACCATCAGACTGGATTGTTTGTTTAGAACGAAATTTTATATCATGAGCTAATTTTTTACCTCTGATTGAACTCTTCTTTGTATAAAGATCCAGGTTCATCTGACGGAAAGTCAAATAACAGCAAGTGGACCTTGATATCTCTAAAACATTTAATAAACATATTACCATCTTACATACAAATACAAGTGTATCAGAACATTCTCAACACAGTTAGAAATACACTAAAGTTTAATATCATCAGCAAACTTTAATAACTTACTAATTATACATATAATTCAAAGGCAACATGGGATTTATTAGTCCATCCAGGCCATCCCTTCGACTAAACTAAATTTTCCCATCCATAACACCCAGCAGTCCTTAAGAAACTGATATTCTAACTTACCAGTATATATATTTTGTGAAATTGTTAACTATGTCATATTTAGTTTATTAAATCTTAAAAAAATTAATGTCGCGTTTTGGAACACTTTCATTAACCACCCCCCAAAAAACGTACATCACTTATAATAGTTAAATAAACCACCTAAACATCATGTTAGTGTAGCCTATATAATGTGCAAAGTTTAGTATACTCTAATCCCTTATAGTGATGGCACACAATGAGACACACATTCGGCATGTAATGCTGTTTGAAAACAAGAAGGGAAACAACACCTCTGTAGCCACAAAGAATATCAAAGATGTTTAAGGAGATGTTTTGAACATTCATAAGTGTCAACGATGGTTCAGCAAATTTCATTCAGGTGACTTTAGTCTTAAAAACTGTGATGGCAAGGGCCAACGTGTTGCAATTGATAGTGATGCTCTGAAGATGCTTGTTGAGTCTAATCCAAGGCA